AGCTATTCATATTGCCTCTAATCCAGTGTTCCACGAAAGGACTAAGCATATTGAAGTTGATTATCATTTTATTCGAGACAAAATATTGAGTGAAAACATTTCTACTCCATTCGTGAAGTCTGAAGATGGTTGATATGTTCACTAAAGCTCTCGGTCATAACAGATTGAATGTTATCTGTTCCAAGCTGGGATTATATTATATATATTCTCCAGCTTGAGGGGGAGTGTTGGAATAGTCATATTAGAACACATATGTAATTAGTTTACCCCATAGGGGTAATTTAGTCTTTGTATTGTCTCTTACCCTTGTATACAACTATATATGAGAAGAAAGAATTAGATAGAGAGTGCGACTCTCTAATACAGTTTTTTTCTAAGTTCTCCATCTTTTTATCTCCTTTAGAAACCCTAATCACAATAGTAATGAAAATTTATTTTGGAAAATTCAAAAATTTACTTTAGTTCCTCTGCTATAATACCAAAACACATAATATCACCATTTTGGTGATATAGGATTGGGCCAAAAAATATGATATGTTATGAACTATTCCAAACCAATATCAACCATCCCAAACATGATATGGGCCCAAATTTGGATACCAATATTAGAAAAACAATATCATAACGCATGCCAAACGGGCTCTAAGCTTTCAAAAGCCTCATCAAAACATCATCCAGACTAATGTAGGAGAAGATCCTTAAGGCAATGCCTTTAACCTAAAAGGGGAATTAACGTGGGGCGAGCTTACAATGATCAGTAGGAAACATACTAGGTAAATAAACTACATTCCTTTGGGCCTCACAAGAGTAGGCCCATGCCATATGATGCAAAGGGACATGCTCCCTAACGTCTAGTTCTGGGATAGTCCTAAACGCATCATCGTAAGCTAGCAACTATGCATAGAAGACATATCAATTTCATCTCAAGTAATCATATACGTAGGATATAAAATATAAAAAAACTAATCAAGTCACAACTACACATGGATGCCAACTTGAAAAAAATACATGGAATTGGAAATATAGACAAAAAACAAAATTGCAACTACACATGGATGCCAACTTGAAAATAAAATCGAAATTAATCAACGGATAACTCAGAACACACCCACACTCTCGGTCATATAGCCATTATATGCGCCTAAAATAAAATGGTCATTTACGGGTTACTAACCCGTTGGAAACTAACCAATTAGCCAATATAAAATAAAGAAATTCATGTTTCACCCGCGAGCGTCAAGCCCTTGCAATCATATGGAATCAAATCTAAACAAAACCCCCGAGTATATCCCAAAATCATCATCTAATTTCATAAGGTTGCACCTACCAATATATAACCACATTATACCTCTCAAGTGCACATAAGCAATGTTATCCACACGAATCATGCCCTAGGTCCAACTACTATTATGGCCTACTTATTAATGCAATGACAACCAATAGAGCAATACAAAACCACTAATATCTCAATATAACTCATATAAGTAATTTATGTTATACAATATAAGTAACCCCATAATCATACTTCCAAAATAATCTCACAATATCATTCATATAGTCACAATGTCAAGCATAACTTGTGAAATAGACCTCATATAAAGGAAATACTTAAAACCACATATAGACATTCAAAATGAATCAATTAGGCACCTTGGCTATCTACCATATTCACAATAATGAGTCAATAAGAATATTAAGCATGAAATTCAATAGCGAAGTCATTGAATTAACATTTTTAAGCATGACAAACCTTAAGAATGCAATTCTAGATATACACACACATATATGCATGCACAACACATTATAAACCCACAAAACTCAAAGAAATTGTAGATTTATGAACATAATACACCCCCTACTTCACTTTGGAGTGAAACTCCAAATATACCAAACCGAAAACTCCAAACGCAAAACAAACTCTGGAAGGTTGAAGAGGATGACAAGGAGAACGTAAAATCCTCCTACAAACCCTTCCAAATCCAAGCCGTAGCCTCCACCCGAAATCCCAAAGTGCCCCAAATCAAAAATGAAAACAAGGGTTATGTCACTCCTGGTGTCCCCATTATATCTCCCTTCTATGGCAAGGTGGAAACCATAAAGGAATGAGCTCAAAATGGTGGATGAAGGTGGAGGGAAAAAGAAAAATAAAAGAGAGAGAGATGAGATAGAGCCGAATGGGGAAAGAAGAATAGAGTTGTCATCTTTTTCTCTCCCCTCAGTCCTCACACACATATATACTCACACACACAACCACACATTTCATCCACTCACTCTCCACTACACAACACGAGTCAAATAGGTAAGGGTGGAGTCCACCAATCTCATTAAACACACTAAAGCCCCAATGCAACAAATAAACACGTGTATGGAATGCCCCACAATGTCATGAATGATGAATGTGACCCCAATGAAATAAGTGAATAGTGCTGGGAAAAATTCCTGAGCACTTGTCTCGACCCGAGCCCACATGGCCCAAACACAAAAATAAAATAAAATAAATAAATAAATAAAAATGGTCCTCATAGCTTCTGCCATTGATAAGGCAACAGAATTTTGTTTCTTGGATGACCAAGATACAAGTGAGTGTCCTAGGAAGTGACAAGTGTCACTCGTGCTTTTTCTATCAATTCTACATGCAGGAAATTCGGCATCCAAATAACTCACAAGATCAAAAGACGTCTCTCTTGGAAACCAAAGTCCTAAGTCAATGGTGCCACATAAATATCAAAAAATACGTTTAACGACACATAAATGAGATTTTGTTGGACATGATTGAAATCTAGCACATAAGCAAACACAAAACATGATATCCGGTCTACTTTCAGTTAAATATGAAAGTCTACCAATCATACCTCTATATTTATTAATGTCCACATCTTTTCCCATTTCATCTTTATCAAGTATCAAGGATGGATTAATTGCAGTCTTTGCTTTGCATGTTTGGCTTCTTCCAAGCGAAATTTCTTTAGCAAATCTTTAGCATACTTGGATTGGCAAATGAAAATGACATCAAGTGTTTGTTTGATTTGCAAACTAAGAAGAAGTTGAGTTCTCCCATCATACTTATTTCAAACTCATTTTGCATGGTAGAAACAAACTATTTGCATAGCTCACAATTAGTTGATCCAAAAATAATACCATCAACGTATATTTGAATGATCAACAAGTTGCTATTAATGGTTTTAGTAAAAAAATGTATTGTCAATTTTTCCTCTAATAAAACCATTATCAAGTAGAAATCCACTTAGTCTCTCTCATACTACGCTCTTGGAGCTTGTTTTAAACCATATAAAACTCATATGTTTGGACTATCATAGCTTTCAAAGTCCGGTGGTTGTTCTATATAGACTTCTTCTTTAATAAAGCCATTTAAGAAAGCATTTTTTACATCCATTTGAAATAATTTGAAGTTCATATAAGATGCAAATGCAAGTAGCATTCTAATATCTTCTAATATAGCTACAGGGGGAAAGGTCTCTTCATAATCAATTTCTTCTTCCTGATTATAACTTGAGCAACAGTTCTTGCCTTGTTACTTACAATGGTGCCCGACTCATCCTTTTTATTTCTAAAACCCCATTTGGTGCCAATTATAGTCTTGCCCTTAGGTCTTGGAACTAAATCTCAAACTTGATTTCGTTCAAATTGGTTTAGCTCCTCTTGCATAGCAAGGATCCTAACTCATCATTTTCGGCCTCATAAATATTTTTAGGTTCAATTTGGACACGAAAGCTATACGATTGCACACTATCTAATTTAAGATCTTGTGCCAACACCTTTGGAAGGGTCATTTGGGTGATTTTGTACAAAATTCCTAGCTTTATGCTTGCACTTACACTTAAGCGAATATTCCTACCTTCACTGAGAAATCTCTTTGGCTAGTCTACATCCTTAATATCTCACTGGTCTCTCATATAATGCATGACAAGATCTGGAAGCCCCTGCCGGCAAGATGGATAAAGTGCAATGTTGATGCTTGGTTTTGTGCACAATCACAGGTAGGGGATGGTGGTGTGGTGTTTAGGGATTCAGAGGGTTCTATCACTCATGCAGTTACTCTAAAGCATTTTCCTGTCGCCTCAGCTACTATAGCTAAGGCCTGTTGTCTTCAGAGGGCACTTTGGTGGGCTCAACACTTAGGGTGTCAAAGTCTTTGGGTGGAATGTGATGCTAAGATGGTGATTGATGCGGTTTGTGGGGTGAAATCTCCTCCATTTGAAATTTCAACATTAATTTTTGATGTCAAAGAAGCTGTGAGTTGGTTCAAGGAGCTGAATATTTCTCATGTTAGGAAAAAAAAGGTATACAGTGGCTCATGAGATTGCCAACCTTTCAAAGCATCTAAATCAGGATGACATTGTGTTAAGTGTGTTCCTGCTCATATTGTACAACTTGTTCAGGCTGATCTTTGTGTTCAGATGTAATTCTTCTATGTTTGTCGGGAAAGGAGAAAAAAAAAAAAAACAAAACAAAATCTCTTCTATTATTTTTATTTTATAGTAGGAAATAGCCCTACATAGCACAGGAAGAAAATGAATGGATATAAACACTATATATATAGTTATATACATATACGTACATATATATATTTATCCTGAACTACCATAGGGTAGCAAATTAATTACCTAATCATGGTCTGTTTGTCATTACCGGCTTCGAGCCAAATCAAGTGGGGACTTCACTGAATTCTCTTTCTTCCTTTTATTATATTACATCTTATATCAATTTGGGTTTCCATCTCTTTTTCCTCTTATCTTTTATTTTAATCAAATAATATTCGATGTTTCTTCCGTGTCTTGTCTTTTATTAATTTTTTTAAAAATAAAAAATTATTCTCAAAATTACAAACCAAGTAGGCCGGAAGTCTTCGGTTTCATTTTTCTCTCCCATGGGCGAGCCAAAAAAAAGTAAACTACCTCAATACCAATAAAGAGAAGACTGAAAATAAAAATAAAAAATAAAAAAATAAATGAATCGTACTGCAGGATAGAGCACACATATAACGTAGAGAAAATTCATACTAGTACATCACCAAGGTTTGAATACAAAATTCCTGTTACAAGTTTAACACAAGAACCGATACAGGTATCTCGAGCCATGCATGTCTTCCAAAATAACAAAATGCACTATTAATTATTTCTGGCGCTTCTATATTGTTTCTCCTGGAACTACAAGGGAACGCCAAAATCCTACTGACCTGAAATTAATGGTGCTGAACACACAACAGACTCAACGATTAATTGGAGTGTGCATCCGCTGGACAATCCTGTTCACGGCATCACGGGACATCACTAAGGTGTCATGCAGCAATATACTATAGACATTCAAACCCTGCAAAACCATAAAGAGGAACAGTGATGAGCGCACGTATGGAAATTAAGTAACATGAGTGACTCGAATAGAATCTAATAAAATTTGCAATAATTAGTAGGTGGGTTCGTTGAGAATTCGACTGGCGTGGTAATAGATTCCAGGTTCTGGAAACTTCGTACTAGAAGGATTATTCTATATTCAGAATTAAACTAGAAAATACATGAGAATGAAAAAATAAATAAAAAATGCTAGGGTAGAAGTACTAATAATAATAGTTTTAGGTAATCGTCCAAACATTAATATTCAAGGAAAAAGAATTATGACTAATCGAAAGCATGACATGCAAAATTTCATGGCTAATTTTAATCTTATTAAATTATACAAAAGAAGAGTATGATGCATGACTAGTTGTTAAACTTGAAAATCAAGCATTTTCAATATGTTATGTGTCCACTAAAGGAATATCTTAATGAGGCATAAAAAGACTCTTCTATTGCAATAAGAATAAAACAAGAGATAAACAAAAAACAAAATGGAACTTACAATTGAAGGCAGTAAGTTAACATAGTGTAAATTTCCTGTGGCCAATTTTAGATTCTCATTTATGGGACCGCCATCCACCATCAAAAGTTTCTTGCTGTTCTCCATTTGGCTTACATAGTTCACGATGTTCTTGGTCTTATGTGTAGGAACTTCTAAATCCTCAAAAACGATAAGCTGTATACGGTTCAACTTTCTCTAGTTAGATTGCAGACATCACATAGAAATCACGGAGAAAATTAATCAAGATATGTGAGAAGAATCCACAGAAAGCATAACAAAAGATTGAAAGATATTCAAGAAGGAAATTACACTCACAAAAAGATCTTACAATCAAAATACATAAATTGCTTCATCTAATTGAAGATAATAAATTATCTATTTTTTATCCTTAAAATTTATTTTCTCGTGTCAACTGATTGAGCTTGTGGAAAAGATTTATTATTATTAATTTTTTTGATAAGTAAGATTTCATAAAAAACACCCAAAAGAGAAGCACTCCCAAAGATAACAGATGTCGAGCACGACGATACTATAACTTTAAGCAATCCACAAAATCCAAAAAGAAGATCAAGGAAATACAATCCCGCCCATAAACCCAAAAGAATAAAGAAGATAATATATTGTATTTGAGAGACCAAGTGGGAGTTTCCTGTCCCTCAAAAGCTCTCCTATTCCTCTCACGCCAGAGCCCCCACCAAATGAAAAGGGGAGTGGTTCTCCAAGGGTCTCTGACTCGGCTGTCCACTATACACCAATTCCAAGTCTCTAACATATCAATTGTGGTTTCTGGATAGACCCAAAAAAGACCAAAAGCAGCAAAAAACATAGACCAACCATCCCTAGCCACCGAGCAATTGAGAAGAAGGTGATTCACAAATTCACCCGACTTCTTGCACATGTAGCACCAATTAACCGTAATCTGGTGTCTCCTTCTCAGGTTATCCAGACTAAGGATGCTACCTAGGGCAGCAGTCCACGAGAAGAAAGCCACCTTCAAGGCTTTCCAGGGAAAAAAAAAAAAAAAAGGCCACCTTCAAGGGAGTTTTTGTCCTCCAAACGGCTTTCCAAGGGAAAGAAGGGCCAGTAATCTCCACCACTTCTGTAGAAAGACCTAACCTCAAACACTCCTCTCGATGAGTCCAGCCACACCATCTCATCCATGCCCACCCCAACCATCACCTGGCAATACAACAAGGCAAGAAAGTCTGTAACGTCCAAAAGTTCCCAATCATGGAACTGTCTACGGAACTGCACATTCCAGGTCACCCTCCCATTATCGAGAAGATAACAATCAGCGCCCACAGCCAGACGATTCACAGCAATGCTGAAAAGACGAGGAAATTTACGAGCCAAAGCCAAGTCCCCACACCATCCACCCTCACAGAATCTGACATTCCTTCCACCCCGAATCTAGAACCGAATGCATTTGGAAAACTCATCCCAACCCCTTCGGATCAGCTTCCAAGAACTCATACCTTCTGGGGATCTCACCTCCCTAGAAACCCACCCACCCTCCCCCTCCCCATAATGACAGGAAACGACACGCCTCCAATGCTTGGATCTCTACCTCCCAAATCTCCAAAGCCACTTACCCAACAAATGTGTAGAAAAGATATTTTGAGTAATATGTAACAGAGTACTCATACAATTGCCAAATTGTGGTTACTGGTTGAAAATGATTCATCACACAAACACCAAAATAGTAAAGAACTACTCCATTCTGAAAGCGAGCGAGACTTGAGAGATCATAGTGCAGACTCGAAATCAAGTCTTTCTGATAGCATGAAAACTGCCTTTCATACCAACCATTAAAAATTGTTCGGATGTGAAAATGATGGTATTTAAGAACCCTGGCACAATAACTTTGAAATTGGACTGCTGTACAACTGATACACACACATACACATACACAGGGACTTGCCTTCCCTTCTGCCGCACGAGCTGACAGTGCAATTTTTAGCCCCAACCGCCGCACCTTCTTGTTCAGCTTGAAAGCATGACTTCGTGGCTTTGGGCCATGCTTGGTAGCGCCACCTCTAAACTGTTAACCAGAAACTGAATTCATTAATATCTATTTAAAAAGCATCATCTACACACAACATTGTTGAAGGCAATCGATCCTAATCAGATAAGCAATAACCATAAGAATATATTACCTGTGGCCCACGCAGAGTTCCATGCCTTGCTCGACCTGTACCCTTCTGTCGCCATGGCTTTTTCCCAGTTCCACTGACTTCACTAATAGTTTTTGTTGAATGAGTTCCCTGCAAACCACACACATCCCAGCATTCTCAATAACATCACCACTTCATAAACAAAGCCCCACAGCTCAAAATGCGAAGATAATTACATATACTGTGAAAAATTAAGCATTTTACATGGACAAAGAAATTTATCAATTTATTTTTTCTCTGGACAATAGAGAACATGTGTGGAAGCAGAATAACGAGGTTAAAAATAAGAATTCAATAACTACAACACTTAATAATGGTTGCATCAACCATCTTGCTCAGAAGTTGACTAAACAAGACAAGAACAACACCTATACTTGTGTTTCGATACATAAAGGCGTTCGAGTCTCGTACAATTTGTGTTGAAACATGAAGATTATCTCATACCTGTTGTCGTTTAGCAAGCTGCCATCGCACAACACGGTGAACAATATCCTTTCTTATAGGTAAATCAAAAACATCACCAGCTAAAACCATAAAGCCTTTGTCTTCATTATAAAAATTTGTCACGGGGATTACCAGGTCCTGGCAGAGTCCTATGACATCAATCCAATAAATCAACAGAACATTTAGAATTTTCCAATTGAAACACAAAATGCCACATCAGTTCTTTTGCAGTGAGTGGCTGTCTGCATGGATGTAAAAAGTGATTAAAGTACCAGGAAACATTTAATATGTTTAAGGTGAAAGGCATCATATAGATATTTTTAGACAATTTTTATATTTCATCAACTCATCCACCACTTCCAGCAAATAAATCTTAAAAGCCTATAATTTTTCCCACTGTAAACAACTATGGAGAGAGAAAATAAGGTTAAGTAAATGCATGAGAATGGTGGACGCCAGTCGTGTACAATTAATAGATCTCTCCAGCATACCAATCTATCAATGGATTTTTTTAGAAAAAAAATAAAAATAAAACAAAAAAGGATAGAGATCTTGAAAACCATAAGATGATGATCGCAGCTGGATAGATATGGCAAAAAGTTATACATATATATGAGTCTACTTTAATTATAGGATTGCCAACTGCAAATCGTATCACATTAACATTGTACCATCTGCAGAGCGATATACCAAAATTTTCAAGTACATTGAAATATATTATTAATTTATATATTGGGCCTGGGCATGTTTGAACTTCCCATTGAAGGTGAATGACTTCTTTGTGGTTGACATAGCACTGTAGGGTATGAATTAAACAAAATGGGGTCAGAAAAGAAACCTTAAACCATCACCATAGGCAATGGTGTGGCATCAATGTCAACTCTGAGGAAAACCTGCCACCATTTGAGATTCATAGTAAACAATGACAATATTTTTCATTTTATGAATTAGGAGCAGTCATGCTGATGGGGCAATTTGAATTTGTATAGAATTTCCAAAATGTCTGGAAAATGAAATACGCGATAAGCAAATTACATCTCCAATAGGGAAAGGGCAGTGGTATCATTAAAGAAAATTTTGTTACTCTAAAGAAAAATCAAGATTATATTTGTTTAATGTCCTTAATTTTTTTTCTTAAAGCAACAAAAATTTCACTGTTATAACATTCTCTAAAATCATTTTTTCATTTTCAATGCTGAAACTTGGGCTCAAGAGAACACACTTTCATAAAAATCACGAACTTAAAAGATCTTATCATCTTATATTCATCACATGGTGATATTAGAATACTGAAATTTATGCAATTATTTCCACTTTTTTTAGAATGAGTCCCAGGCTCCCAGCACATATACTCTGTTCTTAAATGCCTTGAGATATGGTAACAAATTTCAGCCAAAGTTCAAGTGCCTCTACTCTATTAATATTTACACTATTGACTCTCTTATTTTGACCCATTGGGTGCTGCTAAATGCAAAGGCATCAAGCAGTTGGACTCAAATTTATTTATTTATTATTTTTTTTTTTTTCACAGTTGGACTCAAATTTAGATATCACACAAAATCGTATGGCATGGGAATACTATCCCCCACTTTCCTAGTCATACTATTTTTAATATCAAGGAAAATGCTTACAAAGTGCTCATGCATGTCTAACATGCCAGCCAAGAATTTTTTGTAAACCATTTAAATTGAGATTCTTAAAACTGTAAACTCTCTCTTCAGAAACAAAATGAAACCTACTAAATATTAGGTCATAGGCCTTCCTCATACCTGGAGTACGTTCTGGAGTTACAACACACTTTGTGGATAATAAATTGGGGGGAAATGCAGCTTCACTTGATTGAAGAGTTAGGATGGAAGTTGAAAGCCATCGACAAGCAATGAAAGATGACCCATTCTACATGGAAAAATAGGACAACAGGTTTATAACTGATATGCCAACAGTTAAGATGCCACTCTCCAGTTCTATATATTTAAAAGGAAGAAAAAAGACCCTAAAAATAAAATGGACTTTTAATGCTGAACAGAGTGCATGTCATATTTAATATGTAGATTACATGCAATATTGATCAATAAAGAATTCAAGAATAAGAACTCAACAATTAGGAATTAAAGAATAAGAATTCAACAATCAGGAATCAAAGAACAAGAATTCAACAATTAGAATTAGATTGGAAGTACACAATCTGGAATTCTTCGATTGCAGTGCAACATGCATTAAGTGCATCAGCAACTATGGTAGAAAATCATTTAAAAAATCATTTTAGCTAAAATGATACTGAATTATAAAGGCATGGTGCAGGGAATAGGACATAAAACAAACTCTCAAGCTTTAGCTCCAGGTTACGTTTAACTTCAGATGACCCTTGGTTTTTGCTAAGTGACATTATTTAATGGGAGCTTATAAAGACAAAGCCATGCCTAACATTACAGACATTAGTTCATCTAGAAAGTTCTAAACATTACAGACATTAGTTCATCTAGAAAGTTCTAAACATTACAAACCATATCTGCCCACTGCATTTACAGAAGCAAAAACTAGACAGTGAATAAAACAAATATTTTTTGAGGTGGGGGTAAGAGAGTAAATCAACTGGCACCAAACTGGGGCCGCGAGCCACATGTGAAGTATACCAATTGTACAAAAAGATCAAGCCCCTAAGCACATATTGCCAAAAATCTACAAAACGGGACCTTTAAGCCAGAAATAACAACTTCAAATATAACCAAAAAAAAAAAAACATGTTTTAATCTAAAAACTGGAAACTCGAGTACTTCGAAAGTTCTTCTATTCCTTTTGTCTCATATGCACCACACTAGATGTATGGGGACCCTATCCCACACCTTCATAACTCTCCCCCGCTGATAACCCCTTCCCAACTGCTGAGAAAATCCATCGTTAATCATGACATTATTCACTCAATACCAAACAGGGAGATAAAGACGAACCACTGGAATACAAAAATAGAATAATAGATGATGGCCACTGGAATACTCCCCACCTTGCTCATGTTATCAGTAGCCTCCAAAGCAGCAGCCCAAGAAAGAAAAACTTCCCTAAAGGGAGAAACACTTATCAGGTGTAAAAGGGGGACAAAAATAGTAAATCTCAAGTCTAAGAAACCATATCTTAAAAACTCAAGGAGACCTGCAATCCCTTCGGATCCAAAATGCGGGAGAAATGACCCTCAAATTCTTGGTTGGCCTCTAGATTTGGGTTTTGTTCCTTGATAGTTTGTGCCTTGGCACATTCGGATGCGTTAAGCAAACCTAGCCTCTCAGCTTGTGAGAGGTGCTTCATTTTTTCTCCCCCTCTTACTTCATGACACTCCGTGATTTGTCATCTTCGGCTATGAAATGTTTATTTTCTTTATGGCTGCTATGAGTGTCCTTATATTTACTTTTTGTTCCTTAAAGCTAAAATTTACCTACCTAAATAGTTGGTTGCAGGGCTATAAACAAGCCGAGCCGAGCCGAGCCGAGTAATGGGCTGATTTAGCTCAGCTCGAGCTCGAGCCAAGCTCACACCTCAGTGTTTCAGCTCGGCTCAAAAATGTTCACGACAAATTTGAGCCAAGCTCAAAGCTCGTTAAGAAAGAGGCAAAACGTATCTCACAACAGAAACAGATCTCACAACAATCATATATATATATAATTATACATTTGTATTACATAAATTTACTGAGGAGAAAAGAAATATACAAATAAGTTGATTTAATATACAAGTTTATGCACTGTTGAACCACCTCTAAATTATTTCCTACCTACCCCTACAATGATTTAAATCAGTTGATACATTATCTCTCGGCTCCTTTACACAAAAACAGCAACGCCACGCTCCATGATGATCAATCATCAAAATATTTACAAGGGTCGTTAGCCAAGCAAAGAAATCCCCTTAAAATGGAACCTTTGTATGCCAACCAACTAGACCTCCTCCGCACAACACTAAAACAAATGAAACTATGGTTCATAGATCTGCTACACCCAAGCCATCTTCACCCCTCCCCTATCATTCCAAACGATCGACGAATAGCTCGAGCTTGGCTCAACAAGGGCTTGGTTCGTGTTCGTTTGTTTAGTAAACGAACCAAGCTAAAAAAGTATTTCTAAGCTCGTTTAATAAACAAGCCAATCCCAAACAACGCCGAGTACAAGAGATTCTCACCCCTAAGGCCCCTCCCTTCTGCCTTGATCCGGATACCATTGGGTCCGCCAGTTGTTTTCTAACTTCATGGGCTTTCTCCTATTTTGGTATAGTGTGATTTCCACCACCAACTTTTCTAAATTGACAGTTTCGGAATCCTGTTTTGTTACTAACCCCTAGTTCGGGTCATGATAGATTTGGTATCAAAGCTATTACCCATCCGGAAGTGTGGTGATAGTGACGATGTAGATGGTGTGTGTGGGTGAGTGGCGGATACTGGCTAGCTACCACATGTAAACGGGTGTGTGTGGGCGAATGACGTGCACCGTTTAGCTACCACAACGGGCTACAGTGTGAGTGGACAGGTGTTGGACACTGGCTGTGTGTGGGAGGGCGATGGACATTGACTAGCTACCATGACGACTTACAGTGGGTGGGCAGGTGGCAAGCTACCGCAACCAAGTTAAAGGTCGCACTATCTCACATCGCCTGGGGGAAAAGTGTAAAGGACTTGTGTGGTTTATGTTTTTTTGGATGATACGGAAACCAATTGAGATTTGAATTTCGAGAACGAATTTCCTTAAAGGGGTGGAGATTGTAATACCCCGGACTTTTAATTAGGCTTTAATTTTTGTTGTCTTGATTTATTTGAGACTTTATTTATATTAATTGGGAGTCTTTAGATATTTATTTGAGATTATTAATATAATTGTTGTGTTCTAAATTTCCGGGTTGTGACAAACCAAACAACGTCAAGCTCGGTTCATTAGTTCCTAAACATGTTTGTGAACAAAAAGCTCGTGAACGAGCTCGCGAACATGGCCATTATGTATGTATGTATGTATGTACGTCTCTCTCTCTCTCTCTCTCTCTCTCTCTCTCTATATATATATATATATATATATATATATATATATATTATACATTTTAATTAATTTTCAAATTATATTAGGCCCAATTTGGTTTAGACAAAAGTTTAACCCAAAACAATATCATATACTATTAGCCCAAAGAGCATTATAAGCCCTTTATTTATATTTATTTATTTTTTTTTTTGATAAATAAAATGTATTAGAAAGCGTTCAAAAGGGGAACGCATCCCAAGAGATATACAAGGAACCAAACCAAAATACAACCCTATGGACCCAAAGAACCCAAAAAGTCAACAATCTTATCTAAAGATATACAATTTCTCCCCATCACCCAACTAAAAAGAGAACTAATAATAGCAAATTTCAACGCCTCAATGGAGGTTTCCTCCCCATCAAAAGATCTTTTATTTCGCTCTTTCCAAATGCTCCACCAAACACAAAGGGGGGTCACCCTCCAACATACACAAGCATGGCCCCCCACCCTCTGGCCCCTCCAACCATCAATCAACTCCCTTGCAGACCGAGGCATAACCCAATGGATGCTAAAAAGACCAAAAATAAGATTAGCAATCATAGGCCACAGGACAATGCAAAAGAAGGTGCTCCACAAATTCTCCATCATTCTTACACATAAAACACCAGTTGACTGTAATCTGTCTTTTCTTTCTCAAATTGTCCAGAGTCAGAATATTGCCCCAAGCTGCAGTCCAAACAAAAAATGCCACCCTGAGAGGGGCCTTCAAACGCCAAACCTTCTTCCACGGAAAATTAAAAGTATGAAAACCAGCGAGGCAAAGGAACAAAGAACAGACATCAAACCTCCCCTGAGGAGAAGGCATCCAAACCAAGAAATCAAACCCTCTACTGTCCAAATATTTTCTATACAAAAGATCCAACAGGCCAAGGACATCATCAAGTTCCCAATCCTGAAAAGAATGCCGAGAACGCACATCCCACGTAAGCCTTCCGCTATCAAGCCGATAACAGTCCGTTACCATAGCATGTCTATATGCAGCAATCCTAAAAAGTCTTGGAAACAAACGAGACAACGGGCAATCCCCACACCAATAATCCTCCCAGAACATGACATCCCTGCCCTCCCAAACTTTGAACCTAATATGCTTAGAAAGCTCGTCCCAACCCTTTCAAATAAATTTCCACTCCCCCACACCAGCAACATATCTAACTGGCCTAGAAGACCATCCCCCTCTCTCCTCCACAAAACGACACGCAATAGCCCTCCTCCATAAACGATGTCTCTCACTATCAAATCTCCATAACCACTTCCCAAGGAGTGCCCTATTAAAGGGGATCATCCTCCGAATACCAAGACCACCCATTTGAAGCGGCCTACAAGCATGTTCCCACCTGACAAGATGATACTTGAACTCCTCACCCCGACCACCCCAGAGAAAATTCCGTTGGAGATTCTCGACTCTTTCAGCAACCATGCACGGGATCTGATCGAGGGATAAGAAGTATGTTGGGAGACTAGACAAGGCGCTCTTCATCAGAGTGACTTTCTCGCCCTTCGAAAGATATTGCTTCTTCTATCCAGCCAATCTATTCTCAAATCGCTGAATCACTGGATTCCAAACATCCACCCTCCTGGCCGAAGCACCCAAAGGCAAACCTAGATAAACAATCGGAAAGGAACTCCTCCCACATCCGAGAACTGCAGCAAGCGAAGTCACCCCTTAAACCTTCCCCACAGGGACAAGCATAATTTTACCCACGTTAACTTTCAACCCAGACGACTGAAGACAGACCAGTACACACCTTAAATATTTGAGTTGGGACACATCCGCATCACAAAAAACCAAAGTATCGTCCGCAAAAAGGAAATGAGAGATATCCATCTGCTGCCCAGTATCCGAG